TTGATGTTGTTGTTGATGATGATGCTGATGATGATGATGCTGATGATGATGCTGATTTTCCGTGTCCTTAAGCGTCCATTTTCCCCCTGTCTCCGTGATGCTGCTGATGATGATGATGATGATGATGATGATGATGATGCCTGGGTTGTTGGTCTGAGGCCTCTTGTATGTGTGTTGGGATCTCGTAGTTGGCTTTTCGGGGGCTTCTGGGAGGCAGTTTTGAAGCCTCTTTGGGCCCGTTCGGGGGCCTCTTGGGGCCTCATTGGGCCTCTTGGGGGTCTCTTGGGGCATCTTGGGGGCCTCTTGGGCGCCTCTCGGGGCCTCTTGGGTGCGTCTTGGGGCGTCCTGGGGGTCTTGGGGCGGAAAGCTCGAATTGTCGGTTCGTGGTGCCCCTCTTGGGCCGCTCTTGGGGCCGTCTTTGGCACCTCTTGGGCCGTCTTAGGACTCTCTTGGGCCGTCTTGGGGCCCTCTTGGGGGCCTCTTGGGCCGTCTTGGGGCGGTCCTGGAGGCCGCTTGGGCCGTCTTGGAACGTCGGAACGCCGAAAAGGCGAGAAAGCCAAAATCCTTCAAAAACCAACGGCCAATTGACGAGTTTGGCCCCTCGGGGGTCTCTTGGGGCGCCTCTTGGGGCTCTCTTTTGCCGTCTTGGCGGCCTCTGGGGCCGTCTTGCGACCGTCTTGGGCGTCTTGGGGCGATCTTTGGGCGTCTCGGGGCCCGCCGTTTTGGCGGCCTCTTGGGGCCCTTTGGGCCCATCTTGGCGCGAATCTGTGGTATTTTTCTTTCGAGGGTTTGTGGCGTCAACGTGCCAGGGGGCACGGTGGCGGATAGGATGAGCATTTTGCCATTGCGTTATCATTTCAGGTTCTCCAGTGCTGGCGCCGTGTGATCAGATCCAGGGGCTCGCGGCGTCCATCGTCGCCAATTTGCCGCAAGTCGTCAGCGCCCTGGACGCGAAGGCCCTGAAGCAGATCAATTTCCCCGAATACTGCAGCCCAGGGCAGACGCAGCAGCACGACTTCGTCCGCGACTGGGCGTCGATCTGGTCCGAGGTCATTATCTGGGGCCGCCGCGAGATGGCCAACACGGGCAAGTTCGAGAACCTTTTGAGCGAGATCATCGCGCGCGAGACGGGGGCCTCGGATTCGGCAGGTGGTGGCGCCGCTGGCGAGGGCGTGAATGGGGCCTCGGCGGCCTCGGCTTCGGCGGACGGCGGCGCCGCTGGTGGCGGCGCGAATGGGGCATCGGCGGCCTCGGCTTCGGCGGACGGCAGCGGCGCCACTGGTGGCGGCGAGAGTGGCGGCAAGGGCGCCGAGGCCCCGGGCCCCCAGCAGCCTGAGGAGGATCAGTCGACGCGTGTCATTTCTCTCAGCGAGCTGCGCGGCCAGTGGAAGGATGATGAGAACGGTTTGCCACCTCTGGTGCTGCGCAACGTCATCCAGAAGATTGAGGCCACGCTGTACGAGAAGTGCGTCGTGTCGGGCCAAACCTCCCTGAAGCCAGAGTCACATCAGCCCGACTCGGGCACGACGTGCTTGCACTGCAACCCGGACAAGCCTGAGGAGACTCTCGTCTCGGACCGCATGGGGAAGAATTTCGTGGCGAATTTATTTGGTAGAGTCGTGCGCGTGGCCTCCGCTGGTTGCATCCCGCTGACGAAGATCGGCAACGTCATGCTGTATGCTTCAGGGGAGGGCGTCGACGCGACGATGACTGACGAGTTCGTCCCAGCATGGCTCATTAAGGAGGCGAAGCAGGCAGAGGTCGACGCCATGAAGGCCGGCAAGTGCACTGTGTTGGACGTGAAGTGTTCCAAGATCCCTTGCAGCTACGCCTACACCGTCGGCATGAAAAAGAAGATGATTGAGTGCGATCTCGATGTCTGGAGCTGCAGGTGGCCGCAAGGCCTCGAGAAGGCCATCAACGGCCCCGTGTACCGCCAGACGGTCTCTGGCATGCTCTCCAAGACTCCGCAGGTGTCGCGTGGCAAGGGCTCTGCCAAGGGCAAAGGTCAGGGCCAGGGCATCGGCAAAGGCAAGGGCAAGCGCGCTCGCGGCGCTGCCCCGAGCGATGAGTGGAAGCACGCAAAGCACTTGCTTCGCTGAGCGATTGTGTGCAAATTGTGTTGTGTGCCAGTGCCTTTTTTTGCAAATGCCATGTCGGTTCTATTGCGGCCATGGGAAATCAATGTTGCGTCGCAAGAGCCAAGTGCTTTTGTGGGGAGCACGAACATTGTAGCTGCTCGGCCAGGACGTCTGGCATTTGGATTGAGGCAGTTTTCGGCCCCCTCGATGCAGAGGGGAAGCGTCATGGAGGAGGAGGCGGAAGAGAAGAAGGAGGGAGGAAGATGCTATAGGAAGAAACGGAATGGGGGAGGGGGGGAGGTAGATCTGAAATAGGGGAGGGGGCGGGAGGAAAGGAGGGGAGGAATAAGGAGGCAGATCTGGGATCGTAGGGCCCCCCCCAAGCACGGCACCATCGCGAAAGAGTTCAGTGACCGTGACTGTCAGTCACCATGCGTGGCGGTAGCAGCGTTCCACACATAATAACCAGAAAACACAGCTGCTGCGGCTGCTGTTGCTCCTCGCCATCGTCGTATTGCTACTCTTATTTGCCCTCTACTCCTCATCCTCTTCATCCTCCTTCCGATGAGGAAGACTGGAAGGATACGAATGAGGAGGCGGACAAGAAGGATGAGCAAAACGGAGGGCCGCGGCACGTTCTTCACCTTCGACGACGAGGACGACGATGATGACGACGACGACGACGGACCGAGACTACGACGACGGACCGAAAGGGAAAAGTAGGATGAGGAAGAAAATGAGGAGGAGTAGGGGGAGGAAGAGGAGGAGGAGGAGGAGGAGGAGGAGGAGGAGGAGAAGGAGGAGGAGGAGGAGGTCGTCGTCGTCGTCGCCGTCGCCCGCGGCCCCGCGGCCCCGCCACGCCGCCGCCGCCTCGACCTCGACTTCGAGGACCCGCGGCCCCGCCCAGGAAGAGGAGGAGGAGAAGGAAGAGGCGGAGGAGGAGGAGGAGGAGGAGAGGAGGGAGGAGGAAGGAGGAGGGAGGAGGAGGAGGAGGAGGAGGAGGAGAGGAGGAGGAGGAGGAGGAGGAGGAGGAGGTCGTCGATCGTCGACGTCCTCGTCGCCGTCGCCCGCGGCCCCGCCCCGCGGCCCCGCTCCGCCGCCGCCGCCGCCTCGACTCGAGGACCCGCGGCCCCGCCCAGGAAGAGGAGGAAAAGGCGGAGGAGGAGGAGGAGAAGGCGGAGGAGGACGAGGGCGAGGGCGAGGAGGAGGAGGAGGAGGACGACGAGGGCGAGGACGCTCCTCCTCCTCCTCCTCCTCCTCCTCCTCCTCCTCCTCCCCCTCCTCTTCCTCTTCCCCTCAATCCTACTCGGGTTCCCGTTGGTGGTCCCGCGGTTGTCCCGAACGGTGTCCCGCGCGGCTGTCCGCGGTTGCCCCGCGGTGATATATGTTATCCAGCGTGGGCCCCAGGCCCAAACAATTATCTGTAGCAGCTTGCGTGGTGCAATCTATGTGGTGCCAGCTATGCAATCTACGCGGTGCAATCGCCGATAGTCGTCCGACGATCGCTGTGGTGCTCAAGTTACGGGCGTTCGCAAGCGTGCTGCAGTGCTCTACTCATTGGTGTTCACAGGCATGCTGCGGTGTTTCACTTAATGGCGTTGTCCTTCACGGACTTCACAGCTCGTCCTGGGTCCCCTTCTATGTGGGTCCCGTCGTACGACGACTTTGCCAGCGACGCTCATCCCCACTCCTCCCTCCTCCTCCTCCTCCTCCTCCTCCTCCTCCTCCCTCCTCCTCCTCCTCCTCCTCTCCTCCTCTCCTCCTCCTCCTCCCCCCCCCCCCTCCTCCTCCTCCTCCTCCTCCCCTTTCCTCCTTCCTCCTCCTCCTCCTCCTCCTCCTCCTCCTCCTCCTCCTCCTCCTCCTCCTCCTCCTCCTCCTCCCCCTCCTCCCCCCCTCATCCTCCCCCTCGCTCGCCGCCGAGAGGACGCGAGGAGGGGGGCCTAGCCGCTGACGCAAAACGTTTTGAGTGGACTCGGGACGGGGCGCGGGCGGGGAAAATTGCGGCGGCGACCTTGGCGGCGGCGGCAGCGGCGACGGCTGCTGCGGCGGCGACGGCGGCGACGGCGACAAGGAAGAGGTCCAGCTGCGGTTCGCCGCGCCTTCCTGCCTCTGTCCACGCGCTGCGTGCCGCTGGGCGCCTCGGCCAGTGCGCCCAGCGGCATCGGGGGGCGGAGGGGCCACCGTGAAGACATGAGGTCCTGACGGGGTTTGAGATTAGAGGGGTTAAGTTGTTCAACGGTTTCTACTTGGAGTCTGCTGGGGGTCTGGGGTGGCCCAGCGTGGTTCCGGCGAGCAGGGGGCGGGGGCAGGCTCGAGGTGATGGGTTCGGCAAGGTTTTTTGGCCTTTTCGATTTCTGGAACCAGAGATCGAAAAGACAGAAGAAACTTTCGGCCCGGGGCGACCAGCTGTCCTCCTCTTCGACCTCCTCCTGCGCCTCCTCCTCCCTCTCCTCCTTCTCCACCTCCTCCGCCTCCGCCCCCTCCTCCTCCTCCTCCTCCTCCTCCTCCTCCTCCTCCTCCTCCTCCTCCTCCTCCTCCTCCTCCTCCCTCCTCCTCCTCCTCCTCCTCCTCCTCCTCCTCCTCCTCCTCCTCCTCCTCCTCCTCCTCCTCCTCCTCCCTCCGTAGCCATTTTGACTCAAGCATTGGCTCAAGCTGGCCTCTCGCTTCCTGGACCCCGCGAGCGGCGCGCGCCTGGGCGCTTCATGGTGGCCTGGAACAGCTGGCGCCCTTTTTCGACACCCACGGCGGAGCAGGCAGTACTTTGCGAAGTACGCCATGGCCAAGCAGGTGCCCTCCGATATCATGGACACTCAGCAGTTCAGGAGCTTGATCAATAACACTTCCTGTTTCAACGAAGAGATCTTCCTGTACGAGCTCATCAACAATTCGTCCGGTGCCCCGGACACGGTGCAGAAGGACATGAAGTTGCTGCCGCTCAAGATCGCAAACAAGTTCAATAAGCCCTTCAGCAACGCCGAGGTGGAGGGGGAGCCCATGGACATGCAGGCCGATGCGGTCTTTGCCACGTCCCTGACAAAGGTGAAAGAGACCGCCGAGAAGAACCTGGGCAAGGATGTCAACCATGCACTGGCCGCTGTGCCGGCGTATATCAACGAGGCGCAGATGCAGCCCAAGAAGGACCCGAACACTAACTCTGGGATGATCTTCCTTCATATCATCAGCAAGCCCTGGGCGGCGATCGCGTATTGCCTGGACACGAAGATCGAGAAATAAATCCAGGTGTTCAACCCCAGCGACGACAAAACAGCCGAGGAGATACGCGAGGTGATCACGAATAAGTTTCCCGACGTCAGTTTCAAGCCCGACTGCAAGAAGTACGTCGAGCGCGCGCGCGCGTTGGACGCGGAGGCGGCCAAGCGCCCGCAGTAGCCAATGACGCTGCCGAGCCCGTCGGGCATCGTGAAGCTCTTCTGCGAGGTCGCGCCGCAGAAACCGATCGAGGACAATGCTATTTGCTATTGGGGAGATCTCGGAGAAGTCCCCCAACGTCAAGCTCAACCCCGTCTGCAAGACGGACATCGAGAGCGCGTGTGACGCGGCGGTGGCCAAGTGCCTGCGCGAGCTGAAGACGTTGGCGAGTCCGACGTCCATCGAGAAGCTCATCTACGAGGCCGCGTTGCACAATCAGATCGATGACAAGGCCGTTGAGGAGATCCGCCAGGTGTCTGGCGCCAAGGTCCCCCTCGAGTCCACGGCCGCTGGTAGTTTCGTCGCCAGTCTGACACCGAGGCCCTCCTGGAGGCAGCGGCTTTTGGCGGCGACAGATTCATGATTGGACCGTCCGGAGTGGGCCTCTACCCGCGTATCACGTCTTGTATTGGCGTGCGAGGCCAATTCCACTATCACGGTGCGTGCAGTCTCTGTGTTGTCGCTCGCCGTTGTGTGCAAAACCTTCATTGAGAAGGAGCGGACTTACGGTGCACGCAGTCTCTGTGTTGTTTCTCGCCGAGGCGTGTGAAACCTGCCCTGAGAAGGTGTGGATGCACGGTGCATGCAGTCTTTTGTGCTGTCTCTCCTGTGTTTTATGAAACCCTCCGTGAGAAGGTGTGGACGCACGGTGCATGCAGTCTTTTGTGCTGCCTCTCCTGTGTTTTATGAAACCCTCCCTGAGAAGGAGCGGATTTTAGCAGCGCGCCCGAATGCTGCGGCAACGTCGAGGCGAGGGCCAAGGCGCATCCCTGCCGTCTGCGATCGGGCGACGCGATCGACCCAAACTCTTCCCTCATCCTTGCGCTCGCCTTCCTCCATCCTCCTCCTCCTCCTCCTCCTCCTCCTCCTCCTCCTGGTCCTCCGCCTCCTCCTCCTCCACATCCTGTCCACGACGCACCTCGGAGAGGTGGGGGCCTTGCGGCGTTAAGTCGGGCCTGTCCCTCTACAGAGGGGGAATATCCATAGATAGTAGAAAAAATAGTTCGGGTGCGATGTTTTGATTACTCTCGAACATGTCTGAATATTGTTTGACACATTTTACTTTTTTCGTCCCGAATCCCCCTGTATGGGGGACGTGCCCGACCCAGGTGTAACGTTACGATACAAAGGGATCCGAGGAAAAGGGATCGTGGGCTGTCGAAGAGCGGCTCGGAACGGAACGCCATTCACAGGGACCGCTTGGGGGCCTCCTGGCTTTGATTCCTCGAAGGGTATTGTGAAGGTTTTGCGGCCGGTGCCGCCGACCCTCAAGGGGGAGCCCGAAGCGTTTGGAGGCAAGGAATCGAAAGGGACAGCTTCCCCAGGGAGTGTGCCCCCCCCCCCCCCTGGGGGGTGTCCTGCCCTCCCTGGGGCCCACCCCATGTCCCCCCGCGGCCACCCACACACCCCCACCCCCACATTGGCGTGAAAAGGTTAAAGGGAAGGGGCTTCCCGTAGAGTCTATTCCGACGTTACTAGACTTCTCTTTGGCTGGGGCGTTTGACCAGGAGGGCCCATGGAGAGGGTCATGGGGCAGCGGTGACGTCGACAACGCCGACGACGACGACGGTCGACGACGACGACGACTTACACGGAAAAACCTTTTCACGCACGCCGACGAGGTCGGAGTTCATGTAGTGTACATGGTCTTGCGCAGAGGCCGAACGACTGGAGGTTACAGCCTTCGACGCAAGTTCAACCAACACCAAGCTTCGTTGTGCGTGGTGGTGGGCCGTCTCGTGGCCCTTCATAACTATCGGAGCCGATGGCTTCATCGGGCCGCATTCAGCGTGCTCTCGGCATCAGTGCATCCCCGCTCCGCCTCGCAATGTTCAAAGGAGGGCTCGCCGAACATATCCCGATGATCTCCTAGGGGCCTCGTGAGGGCTCTCGGCGGTCTCCTCGGGGCCTCCCGTGGCCCCCCAGGGGCCCCCCGGGGCCGAGGGCTTGAAACGTCCATTCGGGTCCCCCGCGGGGCTCCGCCCTTGGAGCCGTCTCGGGGGCCTCGTGGGCCGCGCTGGGCGCCTCGCGGGGAGTTTTGGGGTCCACCTCGGGCCTCGTAGGGGCCATTTTGGGGGCCCCCTCTGAGCCGTCGCGGGGCGATGTTTGCGGCATCCTCCTGGGCCGTCCTGGAGCCTTGGGGAGGCCGAAGCCGAGAAGGCGAGAACGCCAAAAACCCGAGGTAGTAATATAACAGATTGTGCTTCTCGGGGTCCTCTCGGAGGCCTCTTCGGGCGTCTTGGGGGCATCCTGGGCCGTCTTAGGGCCATCTTGGGCGTTTTGGACCGATCGTGCGGCGATTCGGGGCCCTCGTCGACAGTCTTGGGAGTCTTCTTGGGGCCAAGCAAGTCACGCAACAAGACGCCCTTGGCCCCCAGGGACCACGCGGTCAGCCCTTGAAAAATTGGCAGTCTGGGGTGTGGGCCTATGAGAATCCTCCTCAGGATTGAGGACTGAGGATTGAGGACTGAGGCCTCGCCCATTGAGGACGGAGGGGTTTCCCTTCGACTCCATTACGGCATTGCTAGATTTTTCTCTCGCTGGCAAGCTTGAGGATGGTGCAGGGAAGGACGACGGAGGCGACGACCGACGGAGACGACGACCCGAACAGACAAGCCCCTCACACACGCCGACAGGGTCGGCGGATTTGTCCGACAGGCCTTTTCGATTCCTGCAGGTTTTCACGCACCCGGTAGCTTCCACACTGCGCCGTATTCGGCCAGTGTTGGGACAGGTCCAGGTCTCTCGGACGCCAAGACGGCCCAAGGTGCCTTCCATATGGCCCAGACAGCTGAATATGGCCCAAGGACGGATCCAAGATACTCCAAGAGGCTTCCCACTGGGCCCCAGAAGACCAACATCGATTCAAAACCCTGAGAAATCCGTAGGTTTTTGACGAGCTTCCCTTTTGGTTGCTTTGGGCCCGACGCTTGCGGAGGCGCCAGAGAGAGCCCCAAACCAGTCGACGGGCCCCCCAGAACGCTTGAAGCTGGCCACAAGACGGCCTCGATGGTCTCCACTCGGCCCTCGAGACCGCTAAGACGGGTCAAGATGGCCTACAGGCGGCCCAGACAGGGCGATCCGGGGCCCTCTTAGACCGTCTTGGGGGCCCTCTTGGGACCGAAAAAGTCACGCGACAAGACGTCCTGGGCCCCCATGCAGGGACCACGCGGTCAGCCCCCGAAGAATGGGCAATCCGGGGCCCGGGTCTCCTCAAAGAATCGTCGGGATGGAGAACTGAGTCTCCGCGTGATCCAATTTGGCGGATTGCGGGCCCCTGAATGAGAATTCCACCGATACAGGAGACCCGGCCGAAGGGAGTTGAGGACACCCCATTCCGTATTTCGGCCATGTTGGCTCATATAGACTTGTCTCGTCAAGCTTCCTTGAAGGCATTTTTGCCTACACTACTTTATATCCTGCAGCACTCGTGGTCTCCTCTCCGGCATGAAGGTCATGTATGCACGTTGCTTCACCGTTGTTATGGTCGGAATCCACTCTAGCGCTGCACTCTTGCTAGGAGGCGAGAAACCGGTGACGCAGCGGACGAAATCCCGACAGGGTGTCAGTGACAATTCGTCTGTGGCAACTTGGTACTCGTACAGAAAATGCCAAGGTACTTCACTATCGTGTAACTTGGATTCCACGTGGCCAAGCTGGTCAGGGTGCCCAGGTATCAGTCCCTGGTCAAATCGTTGCCACCAGGCCACCCTGGCCAACGCCCAGTCTATCTGCAGCGCAAATGCGAATTGCATGGGCATAACGCGCGACAACGCAGGATACGAGCCTAGGACAGGTCCTGGACCCTACTACCATGGGGCAGCGCTCGAAATGTGGATCAAATATACGCCTGCCCCGACGCCGTACCCGACGCCGTACCCGACTCCCTACCCGACGCCCTACCCGACGCCCGCCCCGACGCCGTACCCGACGCCCTACCCGACGCCCTACCCGACGCCCAATCCGACGCCCAACCCGACGCCTAACCCGACGCCTAACCCGACGCAGTACCCGACGGCATACCCGACGGCCTTTCCGACGCCCTTCCCCACATCCAGCCCGACACCGAGCCCGACGTTTCCTCTGGGCTGGCCGACGCCTCACCCGACATCTCTTTCTGGAGCTCCCATGACGGGCGGAGCCGGCAGTGTGGCTGCAACTGGCGATCCCCACCTACAAAATATCCTTGGTCAGCGATTTGATTTGATGAAGCCGGGCAAGCATCTTCTGGTGAACATCCCTCGTGGAAGGCAGACACGGGTATTGCTTCGCGTTGAAGCGGATGCGCGCCAATTGGCTGGACAGTGTGCGGATATGTATTTCGAGCAGTTGAATGTTACTGGGGCTTGGGCAGAGGCAGAACACGTTGGAGGATATCACTACGTTGCGTCGCTCCCTGATGCCGGGACTCAAGGATGGGTTGCCTTTGGTAAGGTTGAGCTGAAAGTCGCTCGCGGACGCACGCAAAGTGGGCTCCCATACTTGAATTTCTACGTCAAGCATTTAGGGCGAACCGGGTTTGCAGTGGGAGGCCTGCTAGGAGAAGACGATCACGCAGACGTAACCATTCCTGAGGCGGAGTGTAAAGGGCATGTGTCCCTTTAAGATGCCAAGCGAGCCTCGAGATTCAAGGCTGATGCATTCGTTGTCGGAAAGCAGCAGGAGCAGCAGCAGCAGCAGCAGCAGCAGCAGTAGCAGCAATGGCCCTAATACGGGTCCAACATACCCCCAAGAGGCTTCCCACGGAGCGCCAGGAGACCAACATCGATTCAAAAACCTAGAGAAATTCGAAGGTTTTTGATGAACTCCCCTGTTTTTTCCCTATCGGCCTCCGACGCTTGCAGATGGTCTCCCGAGGCGCCCGAGAGAGCCCCAAGACGGTCGACGGGCCCCCCAGAGCGCTTGAAGTTGGCTCCGAGACGGCCTCGATGGTCTCCACGCGGCCCTCGAGACCGCTAAGACGGGCCAATATGGCCTACAGACGGCCCAGACAGGGCAAGATGTTTCTAAGGCGGCTACACAACGCCAATAAGACCCTTCCAAGAGGCCTGCTAGATGCCCCCAGGACGCCTTCTAGACGCCCCCGCCAGGCTCCCAAGAGCCCTTCAAGAGGCCCCCAGAATTTTCAAATTGTTCAACTAGACGCCCCATTAGGCTCCCAAGAGCCCTCTCAGAGGCCCGATCGAACGCATCGGTGGTCCATAATTGCCAGCGTGTTTGGTTTGTTCCCGAGCTTATGTCAACCCGGAGTTTTGCCTGCTTGACAGAATCCTGGACTTTTTATACAAGCAGTAATTGAACGAAGGGGCCTTACTTTTTCGTTACCTCTGCACTTGTGCAACGCATCGTTTGTCTCGTGCCCATATTCCCATTCAAAGGAGCATCGAGAGTGCTAGACCCACTGTGTGGCATCCAAGCTGGCAAGCGTAAACATATTGTACATACCAACCGCGAGGCGGGTTGCTGCGACCTGGAGAGTCAGCTGGGTGAAGCAGGCAGTGCGAAGTCGTCTCGCATGGCTATTCGTGCCGAAGCACGGTGCCAGCCATACACGTGAGTGTTTCCGCAATTGTCTGCTCCTATGTGCAGCCAACCGCACAATCCTAGTAACGCTCACCGTATCATGCACAATTGCGACGGCGCCTCACGAAGCAGGCCACCTTTTGGAAGAAAAAAAGAAGCCCTCTCAGAGGCCCCCCAGAGAGCCCACATGCGTCAACAACGTAAGGGAACCTATGTCTTTGTGACGACCTCGTCTTTTCGCTTGCGAGGAGCCTCCGAGCCCCGAGCCTCGGGTTGATCCAACAATGGCTCCAGAAGATTCCCCCCAAGCACAGGACGGTCGTTCAGAGGACATCCCCCCGGGGTTCCACCTACCCCGAAGCAGGCCATGATCTTTCATGAAACCCTTAGTAAGCACCATAGATTTTGACGATTCCGCAGTTAGGGTCTGCGATGGACTTGCCATCCTGGTGTTGCCTTGTCGACGACTGCGGATTGGGAACGCCTTGCGGCCGGTGCCGCCGACCCTCTTCGGAGCGCGCTTGCAGGCCTCTGGGGGTAGTCCGGGGGCCTGTCGTGAGCAACTCGGGAGCCTCTTGGGAGACTCTCGGGGGTTCTTTCGGGCTTCCTGGGGGCCTGTTGAAGGCCTCCTGGGGGCCTCGTGGGGGCCTCTTGGGGGCCTCTTGGGGTCTCCTGGGAGCTTCTCGGGGCCGGGGGCTCGAAATGTTCGCTCGGACTCCTGTGCGGGCACCATCTTGGAGCCCTTTTTTTGGGTGGCCTCTTCGGCCGGCTGGGAGGCCTCTAGGGCCGTCTTAGGGGCAGCTTGTGTCGATCTTGCTGGCATCTTGGGCCGAAAAGGCGAGAACGCCAGAATCTTTCAAACATCCTGACGCAAATCATTTATTTAATCGCTTCGCTCATTCCGCTGGCCCGTGTTGTGCCATCGCACGCGTTTGCCTGTGCGTTTGTGGCCTCTTGGTGGCCGTTTGGGGGCCTCTTGGAGCCTCTTTTTGGGCCTCTTGGGAGCCTCGTCGGGCCTCTAGGGGGTCGTCTGAGCTCTCTTGGGGTCCTGGGGGCCTCCTAGGGCGGAAGGCTCGAATTGGTGGTTCGTGTTCTCCTCTTGGGCCTCTCCTGGGGCCGTCTTGGGGCCCACTTGGGCGATCTTGGGCGCCTCTGGGGCAGTTTTGGGGCCCTCTTGGGTTCTCTTGGGCCCATTTTGAGGGCGTGTTGGGCAGTCTGGGGACGATGGTGGAGGCCTCTGGGGCAGTCCTGGACGCTGTGGACCCCCAAACGTCGTACTGCGACTAATGCACGTTTTCCGAAGGGAATGGAACGGTGTTTGCTTGTTGGAGCCCTCTTGGAGAGCCTTTGAGGCTCTCTAGGCGCTTTTTCGCTGCCTCTGGGGCCATCTGGAGACCATGTCGAGCGCCTTGGAAGGATCCGTCGGCGACTCTGGGCCTCTTGGGCCGTGTAGGGGGCGTCCTGGCGCCCTCTTGGCGCGCTCTTGGAGCGCCCTGGGGGAGCCAGCCGGGCATCCCCAGGGTACTGTTCTCCCAGGGGTCCCCAGGGGCCGCCACGCGCGCGCGAACTAGAACTATTGTTTTCCTGCTGCCAGAGATCTTAGCATGTCTCTGGCCCGTTGGGCTGGCGAATTCTTGTCTGTTGGGGTCCTCTCGGTGTGCTCTTGGGGGCCCCTTCGAGCACCTTGGAAGCCGCTCGGCCGTCAGGAGGCCATCTTTGGCGTCTTGGACCGAATGTTCGGCGATTCGGGGACTTGTTGGACCGTCTTGGGGGCCTCTTGGGCAGTCTCGGAGATTTGTATGGCCTCAGAAACACATGGAGGACGGTATTCTGGCCCGGGGCACGCCCCAGGACAACCCCCAGGACCCTACCCCGGGACCCCTCCAGGACCCCCCCCAGACCCTTGCCAGGACCCCCCCCACCCCCGGGGGAAGGGATCACAAGGAAGGGGCTTCCCTTAGCCTTCTCGACGACGTTGCTCAAGTTCGCTGTGGCTTCGCTTTGTCTGGCTCGCTTGAGGAGGAGTGCCCAGAGAAAGGGGGGAGCGGCGACGGGCCCAGAGAAAGAGGGATCAAGCGCGACGGCGACGATGACGACGTCGAGTCAAACAGAACAGCATCTTCCACACGCCGACGGGGTCGGCGGATGTTCCTTCAAGGGGTGGAATGCGGAGGGCATGTGTTTCCTGACCCATGGCAATATCCAGAACCTACATTGCACCTTCCGGGTTTGCTCACTCCTTGCGGGGCTCAGGGCATTTCGTGAGCATGCGTTGCTTGCCAGCGGACTAGTGGCAGGGTGAGCAGACCCGAGAGGCAGACCAGCATGACGAGCAGGAGGACAGCAGATCTTGTCGGTTCGCCCTTCGAGAGGCCCCATCCCTGGGCCCCAGCAGAGGCTGAGGGCGTCCT